ACACACACACACACACACACACACACACACACACACACACACACACAAAAAACAGAAAACAACCATATTAAATGACTCCTTATCTAATATAAGGACCCAGATTAAAAATGTCAAGTCTCAGTCCTTTGCTTCCCTGGTCATGGTTCTATAAACATAAATGATAAATGTTGTGGAAGGTAAGGGAGGGTAAGAAAGTGTGGTTGAAGGGTGAGTTTGTGAATTATTATTGGGGATCTTGTATGTCATATGGGAAAAATGTATTCGGCGGTGATGCTCAATATCCATAGAGCGTGTGCTTTGATCTTTAACGTCGGATGGCTGTGTATCTGTCCTATTCGATCAAGCCGTCGCTGTGGGGCCCATTTTGGCAGCGCGGAGCAGAGAGACGCTTCTGGACGCTTCTGGACGCTTGTAGAGCGCTTCTGAAACACTTCTGAAATGAGCTTCGGTGCATCAGGTAGAATCACAACCCTCGTCTGGAGCCGTACTAGAGCGTGCGCTCAGAGAATCCAAACGTGCAGCGCTTGAAGGTGTGTGTGTGGATCAGAGGTGTTGCTTCCAGAGGCTGCCAACTTCCTCCGATAAAGTGTACAGATTGCCTCATCAACGTTATCAGTGGTCCTATTAGCTTTAGGTTTAAATCATAAATATGGTCAAACAGGTGCTTGTGTTTTTCGCTTTGATACCAAATCCTCCGTCTGTCAATTGTCCTTCCTCTCGTCATGTGATTGGTTGAATCTGACTCTTGCTACTTTGTGCTGCTGTACAGAGCAGACATTTTATTTTTATAATTGTAGCGTCTGACGACCGATAACACAATTAGTATTTTAAAAATTTAATTTGTAATTATTATAATTTCACAAACGTGGGCGCTGATCCGCGAAAATGAAGAGAATGGGTTATATTTCTATATGGGGGCGCTGGGGAAGTCATATGATCCTTGTTTGGTGTATAACACCAGTAACACCGACCACTGCAGGAAACCTAGTGTCTCTATGAGTGCACTATTAAGTAATCCACATTTGAAGTGTTGCCTTGGATGTATAGGTTTGTGAGTGTATGGGAGTGGAGCTGGTTACCTTCTCTATCTCAGTATCGTGGAAGGGAAAGCGGCTGACTACCAGTATATACTCCTCCTCTGTCTCCACTGGGATGGGACTGTAGTTGTCCAACTCGAAGATCTCCCTGTGGAAAATAACACAATTTAGTGTTTGTGAACACTTATTAGAGCTTTAAGAATCTCCATCTTTGTTTCACTATTGGGTACTCTGAGTACTACTGTACTCAGAGTACTGTCAGTTCAGTTGGTACTATCATATGTCATCCAAAGATGTCAGTATAATGTAGTTGTATTTGTACAAAATATCAAATGGTCACAATCGTCATGAAGACTTGTACACCTGTTTAAGACAACAATCAAAGACCTTAGAACAAAGTAATACTACTTGGTACGGGGTTATTTTGGTCGATACCTTGAAGGTATTAAGTACCAATACACAGCCCTAATATTTATTGACATATTTTATGTTGAAGAACAAAATGTTACAATCTACAAAGTTTATTTCAGGGATCTCACTGAAAACCCATCGACTTCAAGACGAGGGAACCAGCAAGAAGAATCCTGAATCCTGGTTTCAGGAGTCATTGCTGCAGCACCCGATAAGTCACCTTACCTGGACCAATAGTTACACAACAGTTAAAACAACACATTCTAATGTATTTTAAAGCTGAATCAGAGACGGAGAGCTCTCGTAGTGATGATGATATCTAGCTTATGAATGAAAGTAGACTGTGGCTCAGTGGTAGAGCAGCCTGTGATTGAAGTAGTCCTTCAATCACAGGATCGGCAGTTCAATCCCCAGCTCTGCTAGTCCATGTCGATGTGTCCCTGGGAAAGACACTTTGGGGACACTTAACCCCAAATTGCTCCCGTAGCTGTGCCTACGGTGTGTGAATGTTAGATAGTCCTGATGGCCTGATTGCACCTTGCATGGTAGCCCCTGTCATCAGTGTATGAATGGGTGTGAATGGATGAATGACGACATGTAGTGTGAAAGTGCTTTGAGTGGTCTGATGACTAGAAAAGCTCTATATAAGTACAGTCCATTTACCATTTATATACTTTCATTCAACTTGATCTGACAGCTTTATTATTGCTAGAGTGACCTCAGCCTGTAGTGATGACTGAGATCATTTATTAAATCTTGTAACAGAAACAGATTTCATTGGCCAAAGCTAATCTATTAAAAGGGTAAAAGTTCCAGCAACACAAATGTTTTGCTGTGCAACAATCATATTAACACCAGGATTTACCCACCTGCTTGGTTTCAACAGCTCACTTGTAAAATGAAGTTAAGAAATGTAATAATAGACAAACAGTCACATACGTCGGCTAAGCCCACCTGAAAACCAGCGCCCACTTCTTCAGGAGAGTTTCATTGTACTGGTCTCTGACCTCAAACAGCAGGTCAAACAGCCGGTTGACTGGGAAACCATAACCCTTTGTACACAAACAGACATCACACATACAGAAGATAAAGTGTGTTAATGTCAGTTGTTCTGCACCCGTCAGAATCCCAACATGTTCAAATGAAGTACAGCTTTGAATCCACCTGTAGTGTGTCAGCGAAGATGACTATGAGGTTCTTCAGCTCCAGGACCAGGTCTGGGTCATCACAGTATGACTGGGAAAAAGAAAAGGAACATCATAATCAGCAAACATCACTCCAAAGTTGCATGTGGGGGAAAAAATTGGTGGCAACAATAACAAAGTAATCATTTATGAAGAAATGTTAAAGATATTTGTAAAGCACTGTGTTGTTTAGCTGCAGTGACTTTAATAGAAACAACTTTTTGTCATTTTTGCTCCAATTGTCACTATAAACTGACAGACATGAAACAGACCTTGCCTGAGAGAAAACAACCAATCAGAGCCGAGGAGTCTCTAACGCAGCTGTCAATCACTGTTGCTGTCAAACTAGGCAGCACTGATCTAATATGGATCAAGACTGTTATTCCTCGGCTCGAATGTTTTTAGAAGCCTATCTTAGTGCATTGCTGAGCTGTGAAATGTTTGTGACCCGGCCGCCATGTTGGAAAAACTCGAGCCAAAACCAAGCACCCACCCACCTGCCTGAGCAAACTTCTTTCATTTTAAAAGTAGTTGTCTTCTGATAAATAAATACGGCTGTAGAATCCTACACCTGTGAGTGCAAGTACAATTATGCTTGTTCAATTCACTGTTCACTGTTTAAAAACACTCATTTAATATGCATTATTATGTAAGGAAAGTGAATCAGTGAACAAAGTTGGGATTTCGGACACAGCTTGACAGGCGTAGCAAGAGTAACTGAGGGGGGAGGGGCTTAGCTAAGGGTCAATCTGCACCAACAAAGTCTCTCCATTTTTCTGGAGTGTCGAGTGATTTATGACCCTGAAAGCAGCACAGTGGAGTCCCTTAACGCCGACACAAGGATCCTGACAAACACAGGAGTGTGTAAATCAACTGAGCAAATGAACACAGCCTGAGATTTGACGTAAAGCAGCAGCCGCCTGCCTCTTTGTTTACTCAGACACACACGTACACACACCAACAACCAGCTGGAGACTTTGCTACCGGCAGCAAATCACAGCACTGGCAGGAATGTAGACAGTTCTATTAGCCTGTATTAACTTAGCTATATTAATGGATTGGTAACAGTTGTGTTATGAGGGATTTGTTTATTGAAATATGTGAGCACCATCAGCATGAAGATCTTTTATTTTTAGCCATAAAATTGCGGACCTTTTTACAATAAATTAGAAGTGGTCTGGCTCACAGACAGACTTTCTCCCTGTGGGCTGGCCATGCAGTGGTTGGAAGGACAGGACCCCCTGGCAGTGTGGAGCTGCCTGTGTCATGGCCCAGCAGAGGGGCTGCAGGCCAGGGGGGAGACCAGGGGCCTTTGTTAGTCGTCTCCCCCCACACTGTGCGGCCCATTCTCCGGCCTGTTAGCATAATCCTGTGGGTCATTTACAAGTGACTGGAGCCCAGCGGTCAGGAATATGCCTTCTTAATCTGCTGTTATTGTTGCAATCTGTCTCTCATTAAGGCCCCAATGACCTCCTCTTTGGCAGCATGTGTATGTGTGTTTTGACCTTTTCTCTTGAGAGTGACATCATTAGGGTGTTTGTGGGTGCACTGACCTCCACAGTGTTGTGTGTGTGTGTGTGTGTATCAGCCAGTGAAAGAAGGTTCTTCCAGGATAAATAGAACCACAGCAGGCTCTATTATCTCTAAACAGTCTCCTTCTCATTCACAGTCCACTCCCTGCTGTTTGTGTGTGTGTGTGTGTGTTCATGCATGTGCGTGTGGGCATGCGTGAGGGCCTACAGAGTGTGTGCGGAGCACAGCGATGATCTTGGACAGGGCCATGTTCCACAGTTCATCAGTGAAAGCTCTGGTCACCAGACCCCGCGTGGCATGGAGGATATGGTCTTCCACAACAAAGAACCTAACACAGAAAAAACACACATCTTAACACATTTATTTATGTTCACATTGAAACCAACAGGACTGATTAGGGTTGTAAAATTCCAGGAATATTCAAAGTGGAAACATTCCATGAGAATTAACTGGAATAAAATGGAAATATATGGGTTATTTCCATTAATTTGTCAAATACATACAATGTGAAATGTGCCATGAGGTGAGTTAGTTAGCTAGCAAGGTAACTAATGAATAAAGGTGCTTTTAGAATTCGAGCCCACAATGTGCCATGTAAAAACTTAGGAGTATTAAAGAAACTACTGACTCACACATATTTTACAACAAAGAATGAATGGAAATAGATCAATTAAAACTCTTCAATTAGCTCCGTCAAGCTCCGTCCCACATGGTAACAGCTAGAGAGCAAAAACTAGCAGAAAATGCAAAGAAGTTATAAACTGTGTACTATGTTTTAGACTGCTACCTACCATTTAACTCAAAATAATACATATCTAAATAAATAGTCTATACAAATATCAAAGTGAACATAAAACTCAAAGTAATTCATAAGTAAAGCTGGAGCTGAACATCAAACTAACCATAAGATCTGGATGAGCCTTTTTATAGAGAAGTGAAAGGTTTCTCACCACCACATCTGCTGGAGTTTATGACACTACTTTTGCATATGCCGTTTTTAATTCACCAGTCACTCTGAATTTAATCATAAGTAGGGCTGCAACAACGAATCGATAAAATTAGATTATTAAAAGAGTTGGCAACGAATTTCATTATCGATTCGTTGTGTCGCGCGATTATTACGCCACTCAATAAGTCGCGGAGATGTTCGAGTATAAAAAAAAAAAGTTGAGTTGAGCGCGGGCAGAGCAGAGCGGAGTACGTGTTGTGGAAGTCACAGATATCCCGGGAAACTAAACGCCGTCATGTCTGGTTCATAACATAGTCCAGAGGAGCTCTGTGGATTGTATCAAGCTGTATTCACTGTCTAGCAAGCCACACGTCGCTGTTTACTACAGCTGTATGAACACTAAATAAACTGATCTGGCTGTGATTTAACAGCAATAAACCGACAAAAACGGACTCTGAAATAACTACGTAATGATGCCGATTTGTAGGCTACTTGTCTTCTCAATGGAGCGGATGGGTCGGTGCTAGGCTATGCTAACATAGTAGCAGCTCCACCAACACTCAGACTAACGTCATGTAGACGTAAATACGGCAGCGTCTATTCATTGTTTGTACCGTATGGTTTACACACACACAGTTATACACATAGTTTGGTCCGGTCTCTGTTGATATGAGGTATCATAGAGCTCTGGGTGAACACAGACGGCTACAGGATTTATTTCCTGATTCAACAACGGCAGGACGTCAGTGATGACGGGGGGAGCAACTCAACGCTGATAGGCTATCGCGCCGGGGCGAAGTCATCCAAGGTATGGGAGCATTTCACATTAAATAAATCGAAAATGTGTGTTAATTGCAAGATATGCAAAAGCGACATGGCATGACACGGGAGCACCACGGTGATGATTCAGCACCTAAAACGTAAACATGTTGGAGTCCTTGATGAGGGGGAAGGGAGTCAACAGCAGGGTAAATCACTACAGAATCCTACTTGTGTTCCGTTTTGAAGTGAGGAACGTAACGTCCCTCCAGTAGCTCTTCTGGTGCTGGTGTTTACTCGTTATCCAGCTTGACAAGTTAGCGTTAGCTCGTTAATAACAGTAGTAAAGCAGGGGTGGTATAGTTTGCAAGACTAAAGACACGTTTTTATTCACACGCCTTTTTTGGTCCATTAATATCCGATTCATCGAAAAAAACAATCGCCAGATTAATCGATTATTAAAATAATCGTTAGTTGCAGCCCTAATCATGAGTAAGAGAACCTCGTGAAATATGATTTGATGGATTACATAGTTGGAATATACTCTTTCTATCTACAATGTGCCATTTCATGCGGGATTTAACAGTTGTTTTGATTATTATCGAGAGTTAATGAAATGCACACAGATATTTTTTTTCTGGAGCCTCTAGGTGATGTCGACCCCGTGTGACTGGAGAATGCACTGTGCATACAGAGGGTTGTAACTTACTGAATTCCAATTTAATGGGATGCTGGCAAGTTTGTGTGATGGATGAGTGCTGCTGAATGTAGCGCAGGTTACAATTCAATTAAATGGGCAGACTTTTAACCAATACGTGGCATAAGACCTAGTATTTGTTTTTGTATGTGTATTTCACCAATAATTAGGGGCTGAGCACCGACTCGAAACATAAGCAAACTTGGCATACAGATTACAAGCCCAGAATTTAGTTAAATAATATGGTTTTAATGCTTAATGGTTTTTAGCGCCCCCTACAAAATTTCGATGAAGCAGCCCTCGCAGTACATTTCACATAGATTTACAAAATTTGGTATGCACATAAATCACATTTGGACTCTTCACATTAAGTCTCTTGGAGCCATGCTCTAAATCCAACCGGAGGTCAGCCATTTTGAATTTTTTATGAATTTCTAGTGTCGTTTTTTTGTCATTTCCAGGCGCTGTTTAACGAACTCCTAGGGAAATAATCGAATCAACTTCAAATTTGGTCAGAACAATAGAAAGACCTTTGTGATGAAAAGTTACTCAAAGTTTGTTGCTTCGTGAAAGGCCGTTGCGACGCATTCTTTGCCATGCAAAATTAAGTTGTTTTTGAGGGGCTAAAAATGCTCAAAAAATAACCAAACTTGTCACACACATTTAAAATCCTGAATGTAGTTATCTGATTTTAGTGATTCAGAGTGGCAAGTCGGCTCAATAGCGCCCCCTACAATATTTTGAAGATGCAGCCCTCGCAGTACGTTTCACCTAGATGTATACAATTTGGTAAGCAGATCTGTCACATGTAGACTTAAAAAGTCTTAGGGGTCCATGCTCTAAACCCCACCAGGTCAGCCATTTTGAATTTTGTATGAATTTCTCGTATTTTATTTTTCCATTTCCATGTGCTGTACTACGAACTCCTCCTAGGGAATTAATCCGATCAGTTTAGAATTTGGTCAGAACAATCTAAAGACCTTAGCGATTAAAAGTTACTAAAAGCTTTAGGTTTCATCGAACGACGTGGATATGGTGTGATGGCCATTTTATATGGTTCGCCATCATCCATCAAGCTGTTGTAACTCGACTGTACTTTGTCAAAACTGTGCAAAACTTGACATGCTTGTTGACTGTCATGGCTTTAGGACTTCTGCATGCCAATAATAACTCATTGTCATAGCGCTACCTACTGATAAGCACGGTAAGCAGGATTCTATAATTACAGCGGCCCAAACACTGAACTTATTAAAAGGGTTTGTGGGCACACCATGAGAAAAAGACATCTCTGATCTAAATATGTGCAAACTAAGATGCTTGGAGAGCAGAAATTGGATAAAAATGGTTTCCAAATCATGCTTTTACATGCAGTTTTCATTCGGAGTAAATTTAATTGTTTTTGTTCGTTTTGGCGCCAGGCCGTAATGTAAAGTAATTTCATGAAACGTGAAGTTTGTTTAATAAAATCAAACTGCACCCAGCCTAATTTGTATGACAGATTATTCTACATTGGCTCACCTTGTGGCTTAAACTTATTTCTTTACAAAAATATGGTTTTTTTTTCAGATGGAACTATACATTCTCCTATTTCTCCTCGACTCTTCCAGCTTTGAGTCACTCAGCAGCGATTGTCAGAGCTACCTGCACAAACAGTCGGTTTTGAGACCTGCATTTACTTTGACAGTCTGTTATGTTACTAACAATGAAGCGCATTCACACACATTCAGTTTCTTGTCAATTTATACAGGCTTACAGTTATGATTGTATTCGGAGGTACACTCAAAAGATTCGAGGCTTAAGACCTGGCAAAATGACCTGGCTACGCCACTGGTCGACACAGGAAATACCGTTTAACTCGTGCACGCAGTGTATGATGGTCACAGAAATGCATGCCCGCATCCACCAGAGTCCTGCCAGTACCCTCGACGTGCGTGCATATGTGAGGGCCCGATCAATGTTGCTTGCAGCTTTAATTTTATTTTGAAATTGTGCAAGAATTTAAAAATTCCTAAGTTTAAATTTCCCTTGGAAAATGACAGAAAATGTTCCGACTCTTTGCAACCCTAGGACTGACTGACAAGAACTTGACTGGACACACTAATCAAACAGAGTTAAAAGGTCAGCAGAATGTAGCATTAAAGATAATATTCTGTATTGTGATAATAGGACGAACATCTTACCCTACTATCTGATTGAAGTATCTTCTGTAGCCTTCCACTGTCTCATGCTGGACAAACACACAGAAAGCCACGTTTGCACACAGTGCAGGAATGCATAAAATATCATTATATATATATATATATATACACACATATATATATATATATACACATACACACACACACACACACACCCAAAACTTGGCAGCTGGTTGCCAAACAGAACAGCAATAAATGATACAAGAATAAGGTTTGAACTTTTAACAATGCCTATACATATATATACTTCTTTAGCTGACTCTCTCACTCTTAACATTAAATACGTGACTATATTTCCTGTTAACACCTTTATGCTTTTACTTATATTACCTTTCAACTTATTTTGATAGCGTAGCAAGCAGCTTGCTTGCTTGCTACCGAGCTTGCGGTCCAAAGGGGGAGAGAGTGCGTGTGTGAAGGTAGCAGTAAGGTCGTAGGTGTAAACATTGCAGTGCAGCGTGTGTACAGTACAGGCTGCAACAACTTTGACCTAGGGCTGGGCGGTTTTAATTTCCCGTATGATGTGAATTTTTCATATACCGTCATACCGGTGCACAGCCGAAACAACTTCTGTCGCTCTTCAACAGGCAGCAAAAGATATTGTTCGCGGCTGAGAGCGCTACGGACGGAGCTAGTTGTCTGAAGTGTATTGAGAGGGAACCCTAGTCATGGTTATAACTTCATAACAACAATTAATAACCACAACTAACGCTCTTTAACAGAGCAAAACACCACGACACAACAGTTTGTGACACATAAACAATTTGTAGCACTAATAATTGTACATTTATAAAATTTCCCCGCCGAACTGCATGCTGGGTACAGCTCGCTAACAACAGTCTGCTAACAGCTGGGAGAGGCTCTGTCGCTCCAGTAACGTTACATTAAAGAACAGAGCAGAGCGATGCAGGATGAACAAAGACTGAACAACAAAAGGTATTTAGGTTAGACACATATGCAACGCTGATTACCGTAATATGTGTGGTATTTGTTATAAATGTACGTTGGTACATAGAGGGTGATAAGAAGCTGTACATGGAGGGGCTTAGGACCCAGGGGAATGTAGGTGAAGGAAACAGGAAGTGACGGAACGGAAGACACGCCACACAAACAGCTGTTCACCGCTCGCTGGCCGGCCGGTTCTTTTCGGCGTTAATTAATTAATGCTTTAACGCGAAGAAAGAAAATACCATGAAACCGCCAGAATCTTACAAAATACCGTGATATGCATTTTTGGTCATACCGCCCAGCCCTACTTTGACCCCCCTCCACTTTTCTGGTAGAAAACCTGGAACGTTAGCATTGGCTAACCTGGTAGAAGTCAATGAGGTGCACAGGGGAAGAAGCATGCATTCCTGTTCACCATGGTGTCTTCTCCGCACTACTACTAGGGGGCAACAAAGACATAACTTTTCTAATTCTACTAGTCGTGGCTTTAAGTCAAATTGGAATGCGGCTCTTTAACAGTTTATTTGTCTTTTAGTGAATCGTACACATTAGCCAAGCAAATAACTGGAAGGGTCTGTCTGTTGCAGCTTCATTTGTTTATTTACTTAACTGGCTATCAACTTGGGTCAAAGCTGTTTCATTTTGCCTAACACAATAAGAGATGTGAATTCCTGCTGTGAACTACAAATTGAATGAGGTTCTTTGAATTTCACAAAAATGCATTACATGTGTGTTTTATGATACTATAGGAGCCATTGGTTGTAATGCTTTCTGAGGCTGCTTGTGTGTTGCTCACCATGTTAGCCTGTGGCTGCAGCACTAGCCGGGCCTGTTTCTTCCTCTGTTTCCTGTAGTAGTTCTCAAATGTTTCTCGGTCACCCTGCAGACACAGAGAAATACAACAGGCTTCAAAAACCTCTTCAAAAGTTACTGACAATGACAAAAAGAAAACAATTAGTTTTGCTGTACGCCAGATGGCCTTTATATTTATAATACAAATAATGACAGCAATATTTTCAGCAAGCTGGGTACATTTGAAAATTGTAGCTGAGAAAGTGAAAGCGAGACACTCTCCTAAACCATTAATCTTATTATCAATGTGATTACCAATCTGAATTTTAAAAAAATGAATAAAGTGTAGAGTAGCACATCTAATATTCTGTGAGCTACGGCAGTACTGTAAAGCAGGGATGAAGGCAGCTCCAATGACCAGAGAAATGTAGTATTCAGTGTGAATAGGCTTTGGATCAATATGATGATGCTGTTCTGCTGGGATGGACTTGAAGCCGTTTCTGCTCGAGTCCTCTAACACGACAGTAAACCTTTCAGTATCTGTGGTGAAGTCCCATTAAAGCAGAGGTCCTACAGAAATGGTCAGTGAGGAGGTCATTTATTCCTTAAGTGGAGAGCAAGGCCGTCCTTCAATCAGAGGATCAGAGGTTCGATCCCCAGCTCCACTAGTCGCATTTCGATGTGTCCTTGAGCAAGACACTTGACCCCAAAATGTCTCCCGTAACTGTGCCTACGGTGTATGAATGTGATAGAATCTGAATTGTAAGTCGCTTTGGATAAAAGTGTCTGCTAAATGACTGTAATGTAATGTAAAGTAATGTGTATTAGTGTGTGTGTGTGTGTGTGCGTGCAAGTATGAGCGAGAGAGATAAAGAGAGAGACAGAGAGAAACACCTACCAGCACAGTGTAAATGTGTAAACACCTGTAGACAGGTGAGAAGTCCACCAGGTCCTGAGCTGTAAGAACCTGTCAAACACAGAGGACAAGACATACGTTTCTTTACCATTTTCTTTATACTCATTCTGACTACAGCAACCAATGAAAACAAGTAGCAAGCTGGTAACTACGAAAAATGAATGTACTGCTTTTACAGTTATCTTACAGAGCTGCTTTATGCTTGAAATTTTGATTATGCAACATGGAAAAAAAAATCTTTCAAGGAGACTGTAAAACCCATACACAGTATATATATATATATATATACACACATATACATATATATATATATATACACACATATATACACACATATATATATACACACATATATACACACATATATACATATATATATATACACATATCCACAATCCTGAGAAAGCAATGACATTTATACACCCAAAAAAACTCCACCATTTACATTTAGCAGCCATCACATAAGACAGAAGTGAACTAAATACAACCCAGTTTAGGAAAAGATGAACACCGTTTTTTCTGCATGATTACGTTCCATCACACCCGACCACAAAATGTTTCCTTACCTCTTCATCAGCTTCTTCCTCGTCTCCCGTTCCGTCGTCCATCATCAGGCCATTGTGAGTGTGAGTGTGTGTTTGTCCGTTGAGGGAGTACACAGGCTTGGTGTAGTGGCCCATACTGGCCTGCTTGGCTACTGCAATGTTAAAGGTCCTGTGCTGCTGTGCCTGGAGGAACACACACAGATCAATGATCCGATAAATACATTTTCATATCTATTGTGGGAATTGTTTGAAAACACAAACTCTCATACCTGTCTCATGGCAGTCTCTCCGACCTTGTCAGAGTGTTTTCTGATGCTCTCCAGAAAGTCCTTGAGGTCTGACATGGAGATCTCCTTGATCTCCTCTCTCAGTCTGGGCAGATTTTCAGCCATGATCTGACAGAACCTGTACTGACTTACCCTGCAGGAGACACAGCAGAAACAGCCCAGTTGTGTCCACGTTAAAGAGTTCAATCTAATCCAATCAGCATTGTCTCATTTTATATGAATACAACAGCTGGCAAATCAACCAAATCCAATACAGAGAACATCGACCAATCAGTGTCATGCTACTAATACTCGGGTAACATTACTGTGCGCCGGCCTGTTGGTAATACTTCCAGCATCACTTGAGATTGATCTCAGGCTCTCGTTCACATTACAAGCAAATGTGGCCAAAATCAGTTTCCTTTGCTCACATGTGACACAGATCAGGAGTACAGTGGACGCATGAATCAGATATATCTTCACTTTTATATGTGGTCCTCAATCTGATATCCGAACAACGGTCATATCGGAGTCTAAGTGTGTTTTTTGATGTCATACTTCACTGCACAGGTGCAGATCGCCCACCATTACCTCTCCATTGTTGTAGAAACTACAGAAGAGGAAGAAGATCCTCTCTCTCTCCACAGAACTGTATGGGAGTGCGTCATTGGTTCAGACACTAATAATGAGTCTTACCTGACATAAGAGGCCTTTCCTATATTACTGAGTTATTCTGCTAACTTTACCATCATATTTAACTTAGTAGAACTTTGATTTAACAAATCAGTAGTTCTAAAAATGTGTAAACTGCAAGAGGGATGTAAAGCCCCGGCTATACCTCCAAATGGATGCATACACAGACGTGTAGTAGTTCTATTGTAGCAGGAGCTATACTTTCCAAGTCCGCGAGTATGCAAGTGTTCACATGACGTACATTCTGTCATCAGAGGGTGTATGCTTTGACTCCGTACGGATGTCTGCGTATGGTGGACCTCAGCGGCAAAAGTACAACTTTAGTTTAAATCTGGCCCATGCCAATGCTCTCAGGGAGCAACAACGGGTGTTTGGGTGCTGAGTTCAAATGTCAACAATCTTTCTATAGAATCCCAGACTTCCACCTTTAACAGGTGTGAGTCAAAGCTATCTAGAACAAAAGCCATACACTTTCAGAGCCATCTTTGAAACCCACAGAGGGCAAAAAACATCTGTACTTTAGGATTTGTGTTCCATCATGAACCTTAATGGTATAATCCTACCTGGGAATGAAAACCTTCTCCAGCTGCTCCATGGTTTTCAATGCAGCATAGTATCTGCAGAGACAAACGGTGTGGCTTCAGTTACCGCTCTGCTCCTTCAATCAAAACTATTAAAAGATGGGTTACATTTTTCATTCTTTCAAGTCTGTCATAAAACAATAATCAGGTTCCCATTGGAACACTGAAGCGGTTCTGCTTGTTGGATTACTTTTCCTAATTCATACAGGGCATTGGGAGATACATTCCTAATGAGTTTGTAATTGATAGGGGACTAAATCTACAGTTCTAGTTCAGTGCAATAATATTGTACAAAATGTCTCTGAGGCTAATTTGAGTCTTCGGCAGTCTGAGTTAGTCAAATCAAGAACGTATCCCTCCTCTGGGAACCACAAAAAGCTCATTTCATACTATAAAGCCTTTAACTTTGGAAGATGCCCTCTTGACTGCTGAAGTCTCATTTTATCTCCACATAAACTTGATATACATTTTACACACGGAAAGAGGACAATGTGAGTTTAGTAATTTAGCTACTACTAGCATAACAAACATGAAACTGATGTCAGATGCATTGTGGTTAATGTAGGCATGGATCTCTGGTTCTGCTGCTTTGCATTTTCTTTGTCTTTTTTAATGTCCACCATGCGCCCAACAATGTTTGGTGAACTTTTGGCGCGACTATCACGATGTGGCTAATCTTGCAGTGGCAAATATCCAAAACAAGCGAGAACATGACAATGTTCTGAGAAAAACTGAAGGTAATTAAATGTATAAAAATTGTGACCCGCGTATTAAAATATGGTGGAATAGAGCTTTGTCCTTTAGATCCCCTACTGCTCACATTTTAAGGCCTGACAAGGCAATCACAGAGCTACATGTAAGTCTAATACATTGCATGCAGTAGAGTGTGGTATTTCATTCTTAACGCCTATTCGGCTACCTGTGTTACACAGATATTGTGCTCTTTCATTGTGTGCACACGTCACAAGGGTTCAGCTTTAGGTCAGTGTGCTGAGCTCCCATCATTAGGCTGATAGGCAGGCTGTGAAGGGATCTAATTGGTCGGTCAGCGAGTGTAAACTGTGTTGTATCCACATGAACAGAAGACAGCCTCATAAGCTGTATGGTGAAAAGGTTTGTCACAGTGCACAGCACCAGGAAGGAGGACACAAAGACCGCAAGTGGCAGGACACAATGCAGAATGTGACCTGGGCACTGGCACATACAGCACAGACAATAATGTGCATTTGTGGCATTCAAACCCATTCCAATTTATTGTAAGTGTATAGGCTACGTCATTAGTGCTTTAAGTACACTCCACTCACACAAATCCCACTAGGTGGCCGCCAATGGTCTAATTGCCTCGGATTGGCTGTGGGCCGTGAAGGAGCTGCAGTGAGGGGGGGCCTTGTTGTGAACAAGGGCACACTGAGGGTCAATTGTCCTGCCAGTGAATGGCCTCTTCCTTTTGGTACACAGTAATGAACAAGAACGGGTCATTATTATCCTGTCCAGAGTGAACTCCCCACCCCTCTTTATACGGATAGGCATGTCAATACGACCAGACATGAAGTTCATGGGGTAAAAATGAAGTTCAATCAAACCCACAGAGCAGCAGAAGCCTGCGTCATGAATACTGGATGATTTTGCAGATTTGTTTGGTAGAATGTTAAGATCATAGAGCTTGCTCTGTTTAGCAAAAAACAACAACACACTTTTTAGAATGGACAACAGAAACATGTGTAAACGGTCCATTTATGTGTAAACACTTCCATTTACCAAGAAGTAACATATTAACAGGTTGCAAAGCAGTCTTTAACTGCCTTCTGTGGTTCAAAGTTGGGCCTCTGACCACAGCCTCACTGACGACTGAGGATAGGGCTTCAATCAACCTTTTGATCATACATTTTTTGCATTTTCTGAATGTATTTCTAAAGCATGAAAAAGGAGGAGAAAAAGAAGACTGATGAAATCCTCTATATTGATGATTAACCACTTACTGATGAACTGAAACAGATAAACGCCACTGAAAGCAGAGTCACGAGGAGGAGAGCCGAGATGGAAGCTAAGCTAACCCAGCTAGGATCTAAAGCTACTCCACCACCCAGTCTGCTCCTGGCTAATGTCCAATTGAAGGAAAATTAATTCTAACTGAGCAACGGGAGGTCAGTGACTGTTGTGCCCACGTCTTCACAGAGACCTGGCTCCATCGTAGTCCTGGATCCAGCTGCACTTGACGGGCAGACAGCAGGACAGAGAGCAGGACTCCAGTGGGACGAGAGGAGGCGGACTCGGTGTTTACACTGATGCTTGGTGCTCAAACAGTCAAATGTGATGGACAGTGTTTCCATGATGTTGAGTTTTTAATGTGAAGATGTCGGCCATATTGCCCAGAGAATTGTTCTGTTGCAGCAGTTTGCCTTCCTCCTGATGCAAGTTTAAAAGAACGCAGGAATACACTACTGTTTTGTTTGTCATGTTTTTCTTGTGTTGCAAAAGGACTGCAACTACATTTCATTATACAACCCTTTTATGAGTTGCATAATGACAATACATTGCCCTTGAATCATTGAATCCATGAGGCATGTAGGCTATTCATACTTATGAGGGTTAATATTTACATATTGGAATAACCCGTTTGTTGTTGATTAATGCGTCTGTATGATTCTATGAGGGACGGCTGATGGAAATGGCCGGAAACAAAAATAAAAATGTTAATTTATTCATTTATTTATGAATTGGATGTGTATGGTTGGGTGTGATATAGAGATGTCAACAAATATACATTTGAATAAACTATATTCGAATTGTAAATAACATTAAATAATAATAATCTTCGACACAAGGTCATTGACATAATTCACAAAAATAGACATTAGAATAGTTTGATATGTTTTTGAGGAAGAAATATTGAAACATCCTTTTTGGCCAATTTTCACAGCCCTAGATCAGACACGAGCTCTGTTGCACCTGTTACGATGCCCAATAGTGACGTCACAGAGTACTGACACGCCCTGGAGTACACTTCTACATCACTGATGCAAGGGGACACATTAAACAACTGGAAGTCAGCAAAAACAAGATTTTCAGTTGGTGTTAAGCAAAGAATAAGTCCACAGTAGTTTTTGGAAGAAGGAAAAACATAGCTGCACTAGCCTCTATGGGTTGAAAGGTATAAGTCTGTTGAACCTCTGGCCGCACCCCCTGCCAACTAGTGGTGACAAAAGCCTTTTCCAAACCTGTGCAGCAGCACTGTACCGTAGACCTATAGCACCACGCGACCTCACTGGTCTATGTTCTGATGTACATACAACCACACCCAGCTGGGACGTAGCATGGTACTCTAGTGCTATGGTACACCACAGCTGCACAGGGTGGGGAAAGGATGCCGTCACCACTAGTTGGTGAGGCAAGTCTGGTTATTGGACTGGGTAAAGGTACACTTTCAGAATCAGGGAACCTTGAGATTTAAAAAATGATTGTAAGTTGTTTTCAATATCATGGTTCTACATCAGTCACACTGTGATGAGAAGCTTGGTGAGATTGGTACCTTTTGGACTCGAGCTGCTCCTTTAGTTTGCTGTACATTTCTAGCACTGCAAAAGAAAGAGAAGACGGGAAACAGGACCAGTAAGTTTGCTGGTTTAAGCATTTTGCTTATTTTTGCTCCAAATTTACTGTGCATTAAAAGATGTGTGTAAAAAGTTCTACCAAAATGACTATTTCAGGTCACCAGTGGATTGGAGTTGCAGACCTCCAAGTCTGTGACCCAGTGCTTGTTGCATGAATCCTGCAGCATATGGCTCCTTAAGTGCTCAATTCTAATAAAGAAACACCCTCATACTCCGCTTCTAAAGGTTATTTGAACTAATCTTCAATTGTCTTAGTAATAAGTGCCGTCTATGAGTACTTCTATTACTTCTGCATTAATTATATATATATATATATATATATATATATATATATATGCTACGGGATGTAAGAAATGAATAAGTAAAACAGCTTAAATACATTTATAAAATGGCCACCACCTAGAAACTAGTGGGTCTATTCACCACGTTAGGCAGAGTTCTCACTCTAGACACCCAAGATTTAAAGAAGGTGTTGAACTGGTCACAGTCTAGGCACAAGTACACATGTGACCTCCAGTGGCACCCTGAGGTAACACCTCGCCAAGCACAAGAATTAAAGCGACCATCATATTGCTACACAAGCAGCAGTGCTACCTGGTATACAGAGATGGAGCTTCTCCACAGTGGTGGCCATGTTCCTCTGCTGGATCCGACAGCGGATCACCTCCTCTGTCTGAACCGTCACCTGAGGGCAGGAACACACAATGGAGAGGAAACAATGAGAAAGAGCCCACCACTGTTAGCTTCTGGGTTAAAGAACGGTCACGTCTAACTGTCTTCGCAGTTAACAAGCAGGCATACGTCCTGACAGCACAATGTAAAGCAGCCCTTTCTGTCCCCTGCACACTCATGCATACATGCGATGCGTGGACTTACCTCCCTCCCAGCCTCTTGTAATCTTCGATTAGTGTCCGTCACTTGACCCTTTCAAAGCAAACACAGACATCAGTTTAAACTGTACAGCCTGAGAACTCTCGCTGTATTCTTCCTCTAGCCATGGTTACTGCACATTTCTTATTGTCAACAAATACCACACATGTTATTCCTCTGCTCCATTGCTCAAAAACTAGGAGCCAAAACAAATTGGTGACATGGTCCTTCATCTACGAACATACACACTGAAGTATATTTTTGGCTCGATACCACTCGAGCACCAAATTTTGATTAATCCGCCACTGAAAGTAGTCCCCAACACATGTTTGAGTAACCTGTGTTAAAACGACAGTTACCAGCAGTTTTACTGAGCAATATATTGCGTATACAATATGTTGTGAACTTTTCAGATGTCTTCAGGAGGAATCAATGGGCTTGGGGCTGAGAGCCACAGACAGAGACGGGTTTGTTGACAAAAAGGGGAACATGTAATAAAACCAGCCTTAGCTTTAAAAAGCTGTTCTGGGAACTGTTTCATGTTGAAAACATAAACACACAAGTTTAGATTTTGAGAACATTAATCGAGATATCTTGCAAGTTTACATCTATAAATGAAAGGTCTTCCTCTTAGTGTGACGAAGGTGGAGTCGGTAAAGGCGGCACATTGACGTCTGTGTGACTGAGCACTCACTTCTGTTTGAGACACTCTCAACACGGGTTCACAAATCTAAAACTGGTCTTTAAGATTTATTCTTAACCTTTCTCCCTCTAACTCAATGCATAATATGTTTGAATGTAGGTGATGTATTATCTTAAATTGTGATGATGAATATGGCATAATGTTTATAAATGACATATGTTTGATATTTGGAAGTCTGGCTTCTGATTTACCGTTTTTATATGAACATCATACAACTTGTTTGCCTTTTGGTGTTCACTGTATAACTGTGGGGTGTGATGTTCAAAACATTAAGATCAAGTGAAAGACACAGAAACCCCGGTTTTAAACATGTTGATAGTTGAATACTCTTTTAGATATACAGTATATATATGTATGAATGAGCTGGTCTCGGTCGGGCCACACATGCTGTCACGTGTTCATCCGTCCTTCCTCTCCCGGTGTGCTCCCCTCTTCATGCCCTCTCCTTTCCCTCGCTACCTCCCTCGCTGCAGCTGCTCAGCCTTGTAGTCAGCTCATTGTCCATGAAGGGGCAAGGACAAAGGCAGGCAAATTCAGATTAACCAGGCAGCGAGGACCTGAACCCATCGCCGGTGCACTGGGCCTTTCATGGGGTTTAATGGCTTGTGACAGGCTCTTTCTCACAGATTCAGTGACAAACTTCTCGATCCTGGACGAGGATTTTTGAACTCTCGGCTGTTGTCACACGGCTGAGAGCCATGACCCAATTGACCAGTCGGCTTTTTGATGACAATCCTTTCAACAGCGAAGCTTCCAAACGAGGGGAGACCGACTACATAATCACTGCTTCTTTTTTTGATGTTGTATTTGGCTACGGTGCAGCTCCACGGGGAAAGCATAAGAAACATCTCTAGAAACTTAACCAAGGCTGTGATCTATTGCAACATAATGCTGCACTGGGCAGTTACCAGGCAGTAGAACCTATGACCTTTCCATTATGGGACAGTGTCTTTTCTCTCATTTAATCCTGAAAACGTTAGAATTCTCATCCATTGAATTTGGATAAGAGGGGAAAAGTCTTTAAGAATTTACAGCAGAACCTGTCATGAATAAATGCCTTTCAGCGTTTACATTATTGAGTCTTCCATCATCTTCACTCGGCTTTCATTTCACTTCAGGTATCCTTGTTCTACTCATCCTGAAATACATGTTACACCTTGTTTCTGTAATGTTAAAATGTATTTCATAAAAGGGCGTATGTGGAAGCACATTTATTCTCTGGTCTTTTACCGCGGTATGGAATGGGGCATCGAGATTCGTGGAATTTCACTGCCATTGCTATCGACCACTACATTTGTGGTATTGTTATATTCCTTGTTCCAGCTCATTATAATATGTGAATAATGCAATCATGTATCACAACATAAATCACCATCTAAATGTGTCTGAAACATGATTGTATTGAAGGTAATAAACAGAAATGTTTTTGGGGGGGGTCCTATAGTGATGTAATGGAATATTTCAGAATAAGTTCTAGTTGTCTCTCTAACATACTCCCTCTACCAGGCCCGATGAAGGAAGCACATCTTTCATTTGATTCTTTAATGATCTAGTTGGCACTATATTTTGAGATTTGACAGCTAATGTGGGTTGCAGACGATCGCCTCTTCTGGCTCTTTACAGTTATTCTGTCCCTTACCATCAGTTTCTCAGCATCAGCGCGGACTTTGAGGAGCTCTGTGATGGCGTCCACAAAGCCTTGGTGGTGGAAATTGCACATCTTCTCAATCTCGCGGTCGTGGTTCCTTATCCTGGCATCCAGCTTTTCCATGAAGCGCTTGTGGGCGTTGGGCTGGTCATCGTAAATAGACCTGAGAGAGGTGAGGAAATGGGAGTTGGAGGAGGAAGAAGGAGGTAAGGCAGGAAGGGACAAATAGAGAAAACGGTAAGAACTGTTGGAATGAAAAATGATTTGTTCATATGTCACTCTGCGATTGTCTGTATGCAGCCTGATGGAGGTTCCTTAGTTACGATAGCTGCACTTAACAGCTGGAAAAACTGATGCAATACTTTCTGCATCTGTTGGTCAGTGTGAGTTATAGTGTGCATGTAAAGTATTTAAAATACGGCACGATTTATTATTATGCATAATAAGCATTAAATACAAATCCCCAAGATGGCTCACATTCATTCCAATGAAAGTTGCTCATAAGCTTTAATAAGCAATGGCCCTTTAATACTAAAGCTACACAAATCAATACTTTAACATTTATCTTTTTACAATGGATCACATGTGGAAGGTGCCATTCACAGAGGATCATCACCCACTCTACAAGTCCACAGAGCTTCATCATCTTTGGCTCTTACTCTTGAGTTTACAGTTCCCACTTGTTTTAGTGAGTCCAGCCCAGCACCAATCAGCAGACAGACAAAGTTAGCAACTAGGCGGTGACATACCAGTTTGCCAAGAACCCATAGAAGCAGAAAGCCAGTTTGTACAGAGTTATGGTTGTAACAACGTGAGCGGTAATACAGGACACTAGATTTGGGGGACAAACAGACCAGGAAATGTGGTGTCATCTACGCTGTGTCACAATCAATGAGAATTGATTATTATCCCCCAATAATTATCATTATCGTGTAATGCATTTATCACAACTTCATGATTGTTAAAAATGAATCACGTGGACGCTTCACACTGCTGTGTAGAGCTTTGCTGTTGCTTTCATGTCATGTTCTCTAGTCTTAGCAAGGGCTGGGCGCTACCGCCTACAGTTTGTAACATGGTATAATGTTGAAGCACAGACAGTAATGGTTTATATCACGGTACAGTCATTTTTTATTGTTGAATTATTATTATTTAACATGTATTTTATTATTATTATTATGGGAATCAATGACAATACAATAACTGTCTGATTAAGTGAGCTTATTTTCATGTCTTCTGTGTTCTTCACTTACAGCCGCTGTGTGCTGATGTTAAACACATGTTTGAACGGCAGATGGCAGCAGACTGATCAGTGCATCTCCAGGCTCTGCCGGCTATATTCAACATTTATACCGTAGGGCAGATTCATACGGGTGCAGTTTCTATAGCCGACCTTCCACCCTAGTTTCAGCCCTCTGTCCGGACTACTCTTTAAATCACTATTTCATACAGAAACATGTGTGAAGGAGAACAACTATATTGTTCATTTAGCTGCATTAAAACAAAGTATAGGTGACAACAGAGAGCAGGAGCCTGTGAGCTCATCATCTATGGTGGTTATACCAACATACTGTAACAAAGATGTCGCCCTACAACGAGCAGACGCATGACCAGGACCTCTACAAGGGTCAAATCATTTCCAATCCAGTGACTAGTAGTGCTGTGTGCGACCTGTCACACTGACATTTACAATGCCTCATTATGTGTGTGCATGCTGAACAACAGCACGACAAAAACACTGAGAAGCAACATCCCTGTGCTAGTGGTGGAGGCCTAGCGGCCAGTTGTTTGCACATTATTGTAAAGAACCCTGCTATTAATCACTGCTGGGCATCCAACCCCACACACACACACACACACACACACACACACACACACGCACACACGCACACATGCACACACGCACACATGCACACATGCACACACGCACACATGCACACACGCACACATGCACACACGCACGCCTGGCTTCAACAGGCACAGATGGTCGTGTGTACATATGTATCTGAGTGTGTGTGAGAAAGAGAGGGAGAAAGCTTGAGTGTGTACTAATTGTGAGTCATTGTGTGTTGGTAGAAATGTGTGTACTACCATTGGCATGGACCTTGGCCTACAACCACAACTTTTCCTCCATAGAAATATGACATGTAGAAATACTGGGATACTCGGTTTAAACACAAAACGTTGTCCATTCAGAAATGGTTTAACAACAATATTATCCTAGTCAAACAATTGACTATTGACTATTTTCTGATACAAAAACTTTGTCACACAACAAACACATATTGTGTGGTTATGATATTTTAGATGTATTTTGAAAACAATGGGCATCGTTCCTAATTTAACCGTTTATTGTTTTTGGAATTAATAGAGAACTTGACTTTCCCGTTGATATCCAACCAGTATTGTAAATGGCAAGATTCAAAATCAGCAGAGACCTGAACCATTTGGAAAGCCTACTACTAACCTAATACTTCAATGTATGAATCTCAAATACATCGCTAACATCACAGCTCATTCCAAAGCTGTACAATTGATTTAATAGCAAGGATGCAGAATGAAGACATGATGTAGGTCGGCCTTTAAGTTGAACATGCCTCTGATGGGGACGGGTAGCAAATGATGAATGAGGATCCCAAACTGACAAAACCTTTGAGCCCAAAGCCTTCACTACCAAGGATCAGCGTGTGTTCCAGCTGGAGCAACGGCTCCATCTAGTGACCCAATAGGGAAACTGCTACATTCACAAATGAATATATACAGTTGTGTGAAAAAGTGTTTGCCCCCTTCCTGATTTCTTATTTTTTTGCATGTTTGTCACACTTAAATGTTTCAGATCAAACAAATTTAAATATTAGACAAAGATAACACAAGTAAACACAAAATGCAGTTTTTAAATGAAGGTTTTTATTATTAAAGGGGAAAAAAATCCAAACCTACATGGCCCTGTGTGAAAAAGTGATTGCCCCCTAAACCTAACAACTGGTTGGGCCACCCTTAGCAGCAACAACTGCAATCAAGAGTTTGCGATAACTGGCAATGAGTCTCTTACAGCGCTGTAGAGGAATTTTGGCCTACTCATCTTGGAGGCCATATTGGAGGGTTTTCGAGCATGAACCGCCTTTTTAAGGTCATGCCACAGCATCTCAATCGGATTCAGGTTGGGACTTTGACTAGGCCACTCCAAAGTCTTCATTTTGTTTTTCTTAAGCCATTCAGGACTTGCTGGTGTGTTTTGGATCATTGTCCTGCTGCAGAACCCAAGTGCGCTTCAGCTTGAGGTCACGAACAGATGGCCGGACATTCTCCTTCAGGATTTTTTGGTAGACAGCAGAATTCATGGTTCCATTTACCACAGCAAGTCTTCCAGGTCCTGAAGCAGCAAAACAGTCCCAGACCATCACACTACCACCACCATATTTGACTGTTGGTATGATGTTCCTTTTCTGAAATGCCGTGTTACTTTTACGCCTTTTACGCCAGATGTAATGGCACATACACCTTCCAAAAAGTTCAACTTTTGTCTCGTCAGTCCACAGAGTATTTTCCCAAAAGTATTGGGGATCATCAAGATGTTTTCTGGCAAAACTGAGACGAGCCTTTATGTTCTTTTTGCTCAGCAGTGGTTTTCGTCTTGGAACTCTGCCATGCAGGCCATTTTTGCCCAGTCTCTTTCTTATAGTGGAGTCATGAACACTGACCTTAATTGAGGCAAGTGAGGCCTGCAGTTCTTTGGATGTTGTTCTGGGGTCTTTTGTGACCTCTTGGATGAGTCGTCGCTCTTGGGGTAATTTTGGTCGGCCGGCCACTCCTGGGAAGGTTCACCACTGTTCCATGTTTTCGCCATTTGTGGATAATGGCTCTCACTGTGGTTCGCTGGAGTCCTAAAGCTTTAGAAATGGCTTTGTAACCTTTTCCAGACTGATAGATCTCAATTACTTTGTTTCTCATTTGTTCCTGAATTTCTTTGGATCGCAGCATGATGTCTAGCTTTTGAGGATCTTTTGGTCTACCTCACTTTGTCAGGCAGGTCCTATTTAAGTGATTTCTTGATTGAGAACAGGTGTGGCAGTAATCAGGCCTGGGTGTGGCTAGAGAAATTGAACTCAGCTTTCCAAAGATGTGATAAACCACAGTTAATTTATGTTTTAACAGGGGGGGGGGCAATCACTTTTTCACACAGGGCCATGTAGGTTTGGATTTTTTTTCCCCCTTAATAATAAAAACCATTTAAAAACTGCATTTTGTGTTTACTTGTGTTATCTTTGTCTAATATTTAAATTTGTTTGATCTGAAACATTTAAGTGTGACAAACATGCAAAAAAATAAGAAATCAGGAAGGGGGCAAACACTTTTTCACACAACTGTATATATATAGGATATATGACACAGTTTATTGGAATGAACATGGTTATTTCCTGTGAACAACTCTAACATTTCTTTTCATTCAACCAGGACAGAACAGAGGTCCTAGTTATTGATAACACCTCTGTGATTGTTACTATTGAGGATGGTTGATCACAGTCACAACAAGACAAACGTACATCCTCCTGTCCTCTAAGAAAGAATTCACTGTGATGAAGGTAGAGCCTGTAACTGGCAGATTACAGAGATGTCACTCAAAGTCTGAGCGTTCATGTACGTTTGGATTTATTACTAAAATGAATATTACATTTGAGTTAACCAGCAGAGAGTAGCCAAGCTAAGTACAGTTTATAAGTTGTTAGCATCTCTTGCTAGCTAGCTGTTAGCATGTGGCTTGATTGAACATGTTATCTGAGGAGATATAATTGATCTATTTCCATTCATTCTTTATTATAAATGATGTATTCTATGAATTAGTTGTTGACTTTAAATCCTCGCACACGGTACAAGTCGTCTGCTCTATCTAATTTCCTAATTCCCTTTCCCCGTTACTTAACTTGATGGTTCCCTAACTCACCACATTGTATGTATTAGACAATTTAATATCTACTTATGATATGGTAAAGTGTTTGTTTCTGCCTACACGTGACATGCAGCCTGAGCTACCCCTATATTTCCGTTGTATTCCCCATGCAGTTCTGTTAATTCCCATGGAAAGTGTCCACCTCGAGTATTCCTGGAATTTAATTGTACTTTATATGAGTCAATATCACAAACATCTTCAACCCCATTGCTGTC